TTGCAGGGAAGAACAACCCCACACCCTGTCTTCTCATTTATGTTTCAAGCCTGAAAAATACCTCTCAGTCTGAAACAGAGACTTTCTTCCCCTTTCTGTGCCCTCCACTGGGATTGCTCTGCTGAGCTCCCCCAGCCTGCTTCTCCACTGCAATTTCTAAAGGGATTTATTAACACTGGGACTGATAGTTATCAAATATTCAGTGATTATATCAAAAATAGATACTTGTAAACAACATTGTGGAGAGTGTATTTTGGCCTTCTGTAAGCATCCTTCGCACTTCACAAACATTTTTGTGTTGTTTTTTTAATCAAGACTGACTACATGCTGCCATCTACTGGGAGGTACAACTTGATCGAGCAAAATTTAAGGGTTTTTCCCCAAAACCCTTGAGAGGGGATCAACTTTATTTCACTACAGTTGCTCTGCCTAATTCAAAAGGGTTAACTCTGTTGCTTCAGATTAAGCATACATAGAAAGACTAGATTTAAAACAGTGATAAATAAGCTAAAATGGATAACAAAAAGATTATCTAATATGCATCAGTGGGTTGTTTGCCCCACACTGGGAGCAGAACTCACTGCAGAGGCCCTTTCTGCACCCCCTGTAAGTTTTCACTTCCTGCCTTTGAGGACAAATAGCCAAGTTAGGTTGGGTTTGTTGGGTTTTTTTTTTCCTGGAATATATATCAGAGCTTTTAATTAAGTAAGGAGCTGGGTGGGATTGGTGGGTCAGTGTCTGGCCACACTCCTTAGACCCTGCTAACTCCTCCCCCAGCAGAGGGTCCCACCTCAGCAGGTGATGGCTCAGGAAGGCAGCCCTGCTCCTAACCCATCATTTATCAGCCCTGCTGAGCTCCAGGTTTGCTTATAGCTCCACATCGTGAGAGGGGGGTTGTTGTTTTTATTTGTAACAGGTACCAATGCATGTTTAATTTAAACCTATTGCCCCGCGGGGCTCATTAGCAGTTTAACAAAATGTCTGGCTAAAAATCCTCAGCAAACATTAAAAAATAATCTTAAAATATCACATGGCTACAAAAATAATCTGGATGAACGATGGTGCTGAGAACTGCTTCAACACATCAGACAGTGAAAACACTGGCAGAGATGGGCTATTTAAATATGAAATAAATACCCAGAATTTCTGTAAAGGCTGAACAGGAGATATGATGGAATGTTGTTGTTCCTAATCCATTCAGACTGCAATTATGGACTCCATACTGCAGCTAAAAAGATCGTTTATCTTATGCTGAGTATTTCAATTGCTTTTTCTCCAATAAATTGCAGATATTACTTTCAACTGGTAACCAAGCACAGCAAAGAAGTTTCAAGCACATGGGTTAGTGGTGGCCTTGGCAGTGCTGGGTTAGGGGTTGGACTGGGTATTCTGAAAGGCCTTTTCCAACCAAAATGATTCCACAATTCTGTGATTTGCAGTACTTATTTCACCAGCATAAATACTTAATGCCACACCATTCCATCTGAAATAGCAGATACTTGCTGTTCTGGGTGGGGATACAGGAAAACCAGAGCTAAATCAGAGAATACAGTGGGAGTTCTTTTGATTGTTTGTTGGAGCTGACACTTCTCTAGCCCCTAAGAGCGAGTGTTTTCAGTGGGTCCCCACACGAGCTCAGTGCCAGCAAATCTCAGCATTCCCACAGCCATGCAGAGCCTGAACGTGTCTCACCCGAGGCCCCAGCCTGGCTGCATCTTCCCTGAGCACCAGTCCCTGCTGCTCACCCTGCACAGCCAGGAATCTGCTCCCGAGGGAAACACCAGATGACAGGGCTTGGGTCTAGCCTGACCATGGGGAACAATCATGCTTGGAAATAAATGCTTGGGTTTGGTTTAATTAGCATCATGGAATCATAGAATCACTGACTGGCTAGGTTTGGAGGGGACCTTAAAGATGATCTAGTTCCAACCCTCCTGCATGGGCAGGGGACACAACATTGCACCACACTTCTGGACCTAAGCTCTATAAACAAAGTAAGAAAAATTAGTAATTCCCTGAAAGTTTCACAACTTTGTACAGTAGCTGCTTTTTAAAATAGATTTTTTTTTAATCTTCTGACAGTGCAAAATTCAGTGCATAAAGTTATATACAAGTGGAAGATAATAATGCAAACAGTTTCTGGTCTGTATTTGAAATCTATTCCTTCTCTACTGGTTCAATAGATCTTCCAGTATTTCCCTTGAAATTATGCACCAGCTTTATGTAAAAATATATATTCATTCCATCTACTATATTCATACTTAAAATCCCATTTTCCTGTTTTTATAATCCCAATATAAACTAGATTAAAATGGTGTCTATTTTACTTTATCTGAGAGGAAAATTTTCACAGCATGACCATATAGGAGGCTGTGAATTATTTTTGCAGGGGCTGTTGTTTGCAAAACAAGCTTTCCAAGACTGCCACAAAGCCTTGGATCTGCTCCTTGTGTGCTGAAATAGTGAGTGACACAGACAGGGGCAGGGCCCCAGGAGCTGCAGCACATCCTCCTTCTGCCCCAGTTGCTGCACTTCCCACTGATGGGTAGTGGGAATAGTTGCTCAAGGCCAGATGAAAAGGACCAGCCTTCCCACCCTCTGCACGAGGGTCCCCACTGGGATGCTGCCCTGCCCAGGGGAGCTGGAATCCTGATGGCTCTTCCTGAGCTTGGGCTGCTCCCACCAGAGGGAATGGCCAGGGAAGAGAGCCCCGACCTGCAGGCTTGGTGTGAACTTCAGGGATGGAGATGGGATGAGTGGAAGACCTGTGGCCAGGTCAGGCTGTGTCTGGTGACAGGACAGCACTGCAGAGGGGCTGAAGATCCCCCAGTGCAGGACTAGTCCAGCTCCAGAATGGATGAGCTCCCAGCTGCTCCACAGCCCTGCAGCACAGCCCTAACTGCTCCTTGCAGCACCTCCCCCATATCTAATGACAGTTTGTATTATCCTGGGAGATGATGCATGATATGACACACATCAAGGATGAATATGGGGATGGGTATTAAGAACTAAACACAATTAGAAAGTCTTTTTTTTTTTTTTTTTTTTTGCAACTGAAAGGATAATGATTATCATCTTTTCAGCATTTGTGTAACTGGGGCTGCACGTTTTATAAGCATCAGCACAATTGCAGTATCTGTACCCAAATGTTTTCCTTTTCATTAACAGAACATAAAAGAACACTGAAGGCTGTAATGTTCAGAAACAATCAGGACAACCAGCTCCAAAACAAACTTCCTTTCCAGCCCACACTATAAAACCTCCCCAAGGCACAACCTGATCCACCCCAGGAGCACAAGGCTGTGCTGGAACTGGAGCCAGAGCCAGGCTGGCGTTGCTGCTGGAGGACACTGGGACACCCCCACACCACCCTCTGCCCCTCCAACTTCATCACACGCTTGTTAAAATACATTAAAGGAATCTAGGAAAAGAGCAAAGTCTTAATAAAGAACTTCCTTATATTAAGGCCAGATATTGCATGAATTATCAAATATTCAAAATAGCTGCTCTGTGGACTTCTCTGCTCCTGCTGCAGCAGGGCCAAGACACAGGACAGGACCAGCCCCAGGCTCTAGTGACCACACAACCAGTCACTTCAGTGGCTCTAGCACTGAACACTCCTTTCCCAGCAATGATGGCTGAATCCTCCTCCTCAGCAAAGCTTGCTTTTCAGGGTCAAATAATCAGCATTGTTAGTTCAAAGTCAATCATAACCTCACTCCCCATTCCAACAGGAATTTTCTAGATGAAAGTAATTAAAACTGTAGAATGTCAGCCCATCTAAGGATGGAACAGGGTGATGTTGTAGATAAATCACACACAGAAAAGAGAAAGGACAAAATTCAACAATTCTACTGACCCTCTTGTTCTGAACTTCCCTTCACCTTTCTTACCTCCCTTTTTCTGCACCTGACCTACATGATATAATTTTGATATTTTTAAACTTAAAAAGAAACAAATCCTAGTTCAGTTCTCTGAGGTGCAAATTACCATTAACCAAGAAGGGCAGGCCAGTGCCACCTTACCTTGGAACTGTAGAGGGCAAAAAGGTGTTGGAAAAGCAGAAAAGCTACACCTAGAAAGGAAGCAAACTTTTTCTTCTCTGCATAAAAATGAGGTTTCTGGTGCTCTTTATAGTTGAGACCACCAAGATAGTTGAGCAGTTCTCGTTTCAGCCTCCCAAGAGGTGCACACACCCAGTGCTGGGGGCAGGAGCTCCCCCAGTCCCCCCACCCAGCACAGGGCTCTGCATGCACAGACCCAACCTGGAGGTTCCTTACCAGGAACCACTTGACTCACCAAGGCTTCAGGTTCCAGGTCCCCAGTACAGAGAGACATGGACATACTGGAGAGAGCCCAGCATGGGGCCATCAACCTGCTGAAGGGACTGGAGCACCTCTCCAGTAGGAGAGGCTGGGAGAGCTGGGATGGCTGAGCTGTGTCCAGCAGGAGCAGAGCAGGCTCAGGGGGTCTCAGCCAGGGGTATAAACAGGGGGGTGAGAGGGTGCCAAGAGGGATCAGTGGTGCCCAGGGACAGAGGCCACAGGCACACACCAACACACAGGAGGGTCTTTCTGGGCATCAGGAAACACTTTTCCATTGGGAGAGTGACCAAACCCCACAAGGAAGGGGCTGGAGTCTCCATCCTTGGAGATGTTCCAAAGCCCTGGGTGTCCCTGCTTGAGCAGAGGGTTGGACCAGATGGTCTCCAGAAGCTCCTGCCAACCTCAGCCAGCCTGTGAGTCTGCAACAACTCCCTACATGTAGTCTCTGTTTTTAGCAGACTTCCCCAGTACTCTTAAATGGTTATTTCCTCTGCTTGCAGAGTTCATTTTTCATAGAGAAAAATGTTTTGGAGTAGTGCAGTTCCCCGTTTCCCAGCCGAACGCCTCTCGCCCCAGTGTCTGCTCTGGTTTAATGATGTGATACAGAGAGGTTTTCCTGCCACACACTGAGGGTGTGCTCTGACTGGCAATTCCTGCACCTTCATCTCTGACGGGATGGAAGTGGAAGTTCAGGCAAAGGAAATCTACTGTAACAACAACCTGGGTGACTATTTCACAGTGTCTAAGGAAGCAGGTAGCACTCAACGTTGGAATAAGGCAGCATTAATTCTTTTACTGCAGCTGAAATTAAGTGAACATATGGAGAGGTTTACTCAATGTTCATGAAATACCTAGTCTGAAAGTTTCAAACATTTAAGAAAATCCATATTTAAACTTCTCAAAGCTTATTTAAGATGTCTCAGCAAGGTGGATGAATAATGAAGGAATATTTCATATACAATAGGCAGTGATATATGCAGAGCTGATACAAACACGAGCATCTCCTCAGGTCCTTTGGGTCCAAAGTCTGCCAGGCTGGGGTGGACTGACTGACCTCTCCAACAACGGGGTTACTGCTTGGCTTGCCATAGAGGTTGCTTTCTTTTTCTGGATGGTAACAGCTGCCAGGATGCTGTGAGAGACCATGTCAAATGCTCTACTGAAGTCAAGATAAACCCCATCCACTGCTCTACCATCATCTCTCCACTTGGTTATGTCCTCATAAAAGGCTACCAGGTTGTTTAAACATGACTTGCCCTTGGTGAAACCAAGCTGAGTGCTCCTAATGACCCTCTTGCCCTTGATATGCCTACAGACAGTACCAAGGTAAGTTGTTCCATGAACAAACTGCAGCTGGTGAAACTCTGTGTGGAAAAATGTAAAGTATTGCACATTCAAAGGAACACTCTGATAAAAGTGGTATGTTCTGATACTCTGATCTGCTCTTGATAAACTTCAATTAATCCTAAAACACCCACAAACTAGTGAAGCAGTGCACCTCCTCTGGACAAATGTACTGGCAATATGCAGTGAATGGGTGCCAAAGAAATCCCAGCAGCTCCAGCAGCACTTTCAGGCCAGCTGTACAATCTCACCAAGAACACTGCTCAGGTCTGGTTACAGCAACTAGAAAAGATGTGGTGGAGGAAAAGTTCACTTAAGGAAAAAGGAAATTATATAAGGCTTAGATAAGCATTGAAATGAAGATCACAAATATTGATAAAGAATAAAATTAACACAAATGCACATTGGAACAAGTGCTAAAAGAGATCCTGTAAGGATCAGAAGGGATACTGACAATTCCCACTGCTTCCCATAGAACAAAACATGCAAACATAAATCCATTTAAAAATGCCAAACCCAAAAGCAGTCAGAAGAAGAGTCTTTAGGGAATGCATGGTTCTTCCTGTGCCAGGGGGAGTAGCCACCTTGGCATGGGATCTGAACATGTGGAATGTTCAATGGGGATTCCCATCTATGTCATGGTCATGTCTTTCCATATCTTCAGCATATGAAAATAGGTTAAACTCTAGAATTCTGATTTTCATGAACTGTCTTATTCTTCTTCTCATGCAGCTGGCCCTCAGAAAGAGACAGCACCAGGTTCATCTTTGGTTTAATTTAGAGTTGGTTTGTTACTGAAGAAGAATCTGTCATTCTAAATTGATTTTACACAGCTATTCCTTGCTTAAATGTAGAGATTGATATTAATGTACAAGAAATTTTTTTAAAAAAAAAAAGGAGGTTCTTATATAAAGATGTTTTGTCCTGAAACCTTTGACTCTGGTGTGTTATGAAAATAAAATTTTAACCGAATGAAACATTGTCTGTAAGAGATCTTTGAATGTCAAGGCCAGTCACAATTAATTTCAGTAAGTATATAATTTTTAGAGTGAAATGTGCAGTATTTCAAAAAGATTGACAAAACTTTGGCTGCAAAGGACTTCATATTAACATAATAATGAAACCATTTTCGAGCCATTATGGAGACATCCAAGGTTTTTATAGTAATGTGAAATCGGGCAATAAAACCTGTAAAATGCATAAGCATGAAGAACAAAAATGTTACAGGTCCCTGTGCTGGACACCTACCCAGGTGGGAGCACAGCTGTGTGGGAATGGCAGCTCCTTGTCTGGAAACCACCATTCCTTGCTCTCCTGCTGTCCCTGCTGCTGCTGTCCCTGCTGCTGCTGTCCCTGCTGCTGCTGTCCCTGCTGCTGCTGTCCCTGCTGCTGCTGTCCCTGCTGCTGCTGTCCCTGCTGCTGCTGTCCCTGCTGCTGCTGTCCCTGCTGCTGCTGTCCCTGCTGCTGCTGTCCCTGCTGCTGCTGTCCCTGCTGCTGCTGTCCCTGCTGCTGCTGTCCCTGCTGCTGCTGTCCCTGCTGCTGCTGTCCCTGCTGCTGCTGTCCCTGCTGCTGCTGTCCCTGCTGCTGCTGTCCCTGCTGCTGCTGTCCCTGCTACTGCTGTCCCTGCCCTCCCTCTCTGCTGTCTCCTCCTGCCCCTCCTCAGTCCCCACTCTCCCTCCTCCCCCCTCTCCCTGGGTGTCCTGCTCACCCTCCTGCCTTGCTGCTACATCCTCCAGGGTGCCCAACCCATTCCAGGCTGGCGATGCAGTGCCTTTGGAAGCCACCACGGACCCTGCTCAGTGCTTGTCCTCCAGCCACATGGTGCTGATGATTTGTCCTCCACGTTACTAACCGGGAGCCAAGAAAAGCCACAGACCTTTTTTCCGGCTCACTTGGATACAGAGCTACCCACAGCTGGAGAACTAAACAAAATGGCGAGAAACCCAGGGAGCTCACTGCAGACAGAGAAGTCTGGGGATACTGTTTCTCCATTGTCAAGGCTTTTCCCCCTCAGACACCCAGGGAACATCTGGCAGAGCCGCAGGTGGCGAGTGAGCCAGCGAGGTGTCCTGCCCCTGCTAACGAAGACCGAGGCTCTTCAGATGCTGTGCATCAAACAGCATGGGCAAAAACCCTTCCCACCATTTCAAACACAGCTTGTCAGACACCAAAGGAACCTTGCAAGGCTCCCCAGGTGCCCACGCTGACGTCCCAGCCGCAGCAGGGTGGTTAATGACCTCCCCAGCAGCGCTCCCGAGGCGCGCGCTGCTCCGCGTGCTCACAGCAGCCGTGGGCAGGGACTGCTCTTAATTATGGAGCTGCAGTGAGAAAATGTCACTCTCCCAGAGGAAAAACTTGATCTTTCAAAATAATACAGACGCTGTCACTCTTCACAAGCTCCGTCGTTCAGGAAAACTATCACTGGGGCACAGAACTTAATCTTTTTTATTTATCCACTCAGTTAAAGCAGACTGAAATGTTGCTGAAACAAACTGAAATAAGTAGGATCAATAGGCAGAAAGATAATGCCATGATCCTTTGTCTGTTGTTAGCAAAACTCTGATGGACACAATACAAATAAAAAGCAACCCTCAGGAAAGGAAGGTGAGTTGAGGAAACATAGAAATACCAAAAAGATCCAATTACAGGACCAACTGTGCACTGGGAATCTTTCACAAGATCACCCAAAAGGCAAGTCTTCCTCTGGAAAAAAATGACCCCAATAGCTTTTAAGCAGCTATAAAGCAAACACAGCATCTCCCAAGGACAGGAACAGCCACCTGGGCAGGGTAAGATCCACAGGCCTCAGCTGTCACCACAGCAGGGTCAAGGGCTGGGATCTGACAAAAGGCTCCAATCCTGATACCCAAACTTTTGGATCAAGTCATCCACTCACCTGACTTCCACAAATTAAACTAAACACACTAGTAAACAAATGCTGAGACTCCAAAGGTTTATCCTTGATGACAAAAGAAATACCTTGTTGCATGCAGTGTGCCCTTGATTCTAACAGATACAGCTCTAACAAAACATCCTGGGAAGCACATGGTACAAAAGATACCAAGCTCAGAGCTGTGCAGATCCCAGGCTCTGGCTCCCAGCACAGGCATTGTGTGGTTTTTGTTCTGAGGCAGTATCTCCCATTACCATACCTTGGGGGAAAAGCAAGGAAGACAGAAATGTTCATATCTCATAACATCAGTGGGTTTACAGCCCATAAAATCAAACTATGCCACGTTAAGTAAAAGCATGGCCTGATCTATACACAGAATTTCTCATACTTTCTTTTTCACTTCTGGAAGTAGCACTTTTTAAATCACTAGCATGTTTAACACTGTATACATTAAATAATGATTGATTGTTAACAAGCCCTTGAAATTATTTCCATAAGCAACAGTTTCATTACATCAAAAGGGACCTGAGCAGAACTGAGTGATCATTTACAAACATACGGTCAGTAATTTTAGGAGGCAGTTTAAATGTTTTTGGTGGTGCCTTTACTATCCTTAGTTGCCAAGGCAACGATCAATTTACAAACAGCACAGGAAAAAAGAACCATGGATTTTGATGAACATTTGTAATAAAAAAAATAGCTCTATCATGAGATGTCTCCAGGTAGCCAGTTTTGATGAAAGACTTATCATATGCCCACTGGCCTAGAAAATGGAAAATATTTTACATTAACTACGAGGCTTAGGGAATGGTTAGGGGCAGGAGAATGAGTTTTTCCATATCTGCTTTCAGGCAAAGGACTTGGGTTCCCCAAAGACAAAGTAACAGAAATGATAATGAAAATGTTTAGAAAGGACTCACACAAAGAATAAACAGGGAAGTTTTTAAAAGCCCAATGGAAATCCTTGAACGTAGAGGAAAAGAAGTGAGTATGACTTCGTAAGTAAGCAAGAAATTCTCCATTTAGCTGTAAATCTAGCCAGGAGGAGGGAAGGCATGCTGAGATGTTCTGTGCTGAGCATGATACCCTACAGCCCCACCACATCACATTGTGCAGACACTTTAAATAAACATTTTCAGCAGCAGATCCTTAGATTGAGCACAGTTCAATAAAAAAAAATGTGTTAAGGACTCTGTAATCAAACAAGAGCCATGCAAATAGAAAAGCATTCTCACAACGGAGCCTTTCGGAGTGCTAGGAACTGGTGTCCCTTCCCAGCAACAGGAAAGACACCCAGGAGAAGACAATGACAAAAACATGTCTGTTCTTCAGGAAACTCCCAATAATTTCCTCATCAGAAATTACCCAGTAACCCAGTGCTTTCAGGGAGAAAATGCCAGCAGGAGCAGCCCCCCAGTGTCCAGCTGGAACACTGAATCCTGAGGGCTCACAGGATGTGACCTCTCACACAGACTTTTCTTCTCCTTTACTTACGTCATATAGAACACGTACAAAACACTCACAGGAAGCTGTAGCATTTTACCCACATACCAGGGATTATCTTTTTTCCAGCCTTTAAGCCAAATCCATTTCCAAACTGGAAAACCTTGAATTCACACTCCTCATCCTTTCTGCTCTTTTACAAAGGAGGGGAGAGCTCAATCACTGCAACTTGTGGTATCAGGTCTTCTCACCAAGCTGCAGGTGAGGCACGGGAAAAACACTTGCCTTTTTTATCACAAATGGCAAAAATTCTGTGAGCCCAAGACACCCTGTACCTGGAAAGAAAATTAATAGACGGGCAGAAGTCTCTTCTGTGAAGAAATCATACTTTATTCAAAATCTGTGCTGCTGCTAAGGAATACAATTACACAAGACAAATCAGCTTTGGTTTTGCACCTCCACAAAGTGTCATTATTTACCTGACGTGCACGGAGCTCCCGCACAGCAAGTGAATCAGTGCTGAGGACATTTGAGATGATGCCCATTGCAAGTGCAAAAACAACACTGCAAACACCCCACACTCTTTAGATGCAGGCTTTGATCAACAGCTGGGCAACACTGAGTGTCAGATGTTTTGAAGCAGGAACAAGTGTTACGGTATCCAGCTCACCTCTTTGTGTTACGTTGGCTTCTTTGATTCATCCCTCGGAGATGCAGGAGAAGAGCAGAGAGTGTATCTGCTCAGCTTTAAAAGGATAATTTCAGATAACTACAGAAAATACCCAGGTATTTGTTATAATACTACTTATGAAACACCACACACCCACCGAGAAGAACACCCCTCAGAGGCAGCAATTGCTTAAGTAAGAAGGACTGTTGTGCTAACAACAGCCTGCATCCCAAAGGGTCACCAAAAGGTCTTCTCTAACTACCGGCATCATCCCACAGCACTCAGGGTGTTATTTACTCAACCAAACGTTCACACGCAGACACAGTGAGTGGTGCATGAAGCCATCTTCTCCAGCTGACACAAGGACTGGGCTGCACTCAGGCTCTTCCCACCAGCACTGCAGGAGGAGGGAGGCAGGAGCAGATGGGAGCAGAGGCAGCTTGCAGCAGGACACCACGGGTGTTTCCTCCAGGCTTCTAACCACAATCTCCACAGAAAAATGCAATCTGGGGACTTAGACTTCAGCTAAATGCCAGTGTAAGTAGTTTTGCTCCTACAAAAGCTCTCCTGGGGCTCCTCAAGGAGCACAAGCAGGGACCACCTTGGCTTCCATCGCTCAGACAAAATGTGTTTCCTGGAGCAGTTTCCTGGCTCTGCCACCAAGTCTAATTAAAGACCAATATTAATTACTTCATGTACTGTTTTAAATTTTGGGGGGCAGAGCAATGCAGTATTGATGGAAATTCTTCTTTCCTGGAACCAGCTACCAGGGTAAGCAATTATAAAATATTGCTGTTGAAACGATGAATAACCATCCAACTGAAGTAATTATAAAATTCATTATTACCATGAAGAGCTGGATCCAGTAATTATCCTAAACTTGGATTGTCTGAGAGTGCAAACAGAAACATTTGCATTAGGAGGTCTGATGAATGGTGAAAGATCCAAAACTAAAATTCTGTTAAACTGCAGCAGTATTTCATTGCAAGCATTAGGGTTCCAATTGCAGCTTCCAAGGTTTGCTGGAGTTAAAAAGAAATCAGTATTATTGTCAGTAAACCATTAATTACTGTGTATCTCTAGTAGCTTCCTAAATTACTTGTAAATTAGCATGTATTTTTAATCATTCTGTGAAAACCGTGGCACTGTTGAGCAAAATCTATGTGAGTTATAAAACATACATCTCCCAAACTGTATTTATTGCATGCAATGCCTGAAGACACAGGAGTCAGGGATAGATCAAGAGCACAGTTATTGAGGGGGAACCTCCCATAGCACGATGAGCAGATTTCCCAACTTCAGCCCCTTTATTCCAATTCAGAAAGGCAGGAATCCTCCCTGATGTAACTCCGTGCCTGTCAAGCTGGGCTCAGGGCCCGGGAGCGTTTGCCCATCGAGGTCAGCAGAGCTGCTGTCAGCAAGGAGAGCCCTGCCAGAAGAAAGAGCAGATGGATGTCCAGCACAAGGGCCTGTTGTTGCTGGGACAAGCTGAGAGCAAGGGCAGCATCAAGCAGGGCCCCACGTACACAGCCCTGGGCGAGGCTCCTGTCGCGGGCGTCACGGGAGAGCCTCGGACTGAGAAACCAACAGCAAATACTCATCTTTCTTTTTTCCTTTAATCTTCTCTGTCAGCAGTTTACAGTCATGGAAAACTATGGATTTTTAGCAACTCTGTTAGAATTCCTAAATACGGGTTTTTTCCCTTCAGTAACTCCTATAGAGCTTTTACAGCTGCTTCCTGTTGTGAGATCCATGCACAACGAGATCTTACCAGAACAAACCTTCCTCTCGTTTGTAATCTGCTTGCTTTGCTTGCCTGCAGTCCCAGCAGATCCTGAATTCGGGAAGGAAAGGCTGAGGGAGCTGGGGCTGTTCAGCTTGAGGAGACTGAGGGGCAACCTCATCATGGTCACAAACATGTTCAGGGCAGTGTCAGGACAGAGCCAGGCTTTGTGCAGTGATGTCCAGTGACAGGACAAGGGGCAATGGCTGCAAACTGGAGCACAGGAGGTTCCAGGTAAACATCAGAAATAACTTCTTTCCTGTGCAGTGACAGAGCCCCGGGACAGGCTGCCCAGAGAGGCTGTGGGGTCTGCATCCCTGGAGACATTCCAACCCCCCTGGGCACCTTCAGTGTGATGTGCTCTGCCTGGCAGGGCTGGGGGGTCTTTCCAGGTCCCTTCCAGCCCCTGTGAGCCTGTGAATCCCGCCGGGACCGCCCCG